TATCTCGGTGGGCACGCGAGTATTAGAAGCGATGGAACCTCACTCGCTCGCCGATTTCCACGGATCTGCGAGCGACCGGGGTGCCATTGTGCGCGAGCTTTGGCGCAGAAATAGGCTGTCCCGTTGAATCGGCTGCGGATGTGTCCGGTGGTCTAGAGAGGAGGCCGGTTCCGAGAGCGTTCCGGCCGATAACGCGATCATTTGTACGGGCTGGCGGTTGAAATCGGCCCGATAGCGATCGAGTAGCGATGCTTAGGGGGGTCGGGCGTGTGGAAGGGAACGAAGCAGGAGAAACGAACGTGACATTCCAGGGCTAGGCGTATCCCCAGAAGGTGTTCCGCAGGCTGGGACACGGGGACGGCGTCTAATTGATCACAAATACAAAAGAATCGGCTCGGGGGCCGCGGCACGGCACGACACAGCCTCATGCGTGTCGACCGGTCGCTTCTATAAACATGCTAATGGCGGTTCCCGATAATAAGTTAGTGGTCCCGATAGTCTCGCTCTTTCTGCGCGCGACTCTGCCCCTATACAAATCTCCGTATACCTACGTAAACGACGACACGGCCGCGCGAGATGCGGTCGCGGGGCGAGGGGGAGAGCGAGAGAGCGCGCGAGGGGGCGCGGGAGCGCGACGGGGCGAGAGGGGCGATACGGATCGGAGAGAGAAGGAGGACGCGAGAGGGTGGCGGACAGGGTGGCTGAGACGGAGAGATAGGCAGACGTCGAGGGACCGTGAAGGAGAGTACGACGGATCGAAGAATCGAGAGAGATAGACGGAGCGAGAGAGGAGGAGAGAAAGAGAGGCGAGGTGGACGCTGGAGAGATGAAGAGGGAGACAAAGTATAGAGAGGGAGAAAGGAAGAGAAAGAGGCTCTCCGGTCTGACCACGAGAGCGTGCTTTACACGCTGATGCGTCCGAACACGTCGAGCCGGAGAAGCAGAAAGAAGCGAAAGTGGCGAAGAAAAAGGTGGAGAAGGTGGAGAAGGTGGAAGCGGTGAAGGAGGAGGAGGAGGAGGTGGCGGCGGCGACGCGGTGGTGGTTGCGACGAAGGGGAAGGTGGCGAAGTAAAGGGCGACAGGCAAAGGGCAGGGGAAGGGGCGTGAGGGAGGCGAAGGGAGAAGGGTTAGTAGCTCTTGTAACGCTATCAACCCTGTCGCTGTACATCACGTCGACACCATCCTAGTCGACTCATTTTAGTCCGCAAGAGTAGTAGGAGTCGGCTTCTGCGCCATTACTTCGCTCGTCGGTGCTACGTGCACACGCAAACACGGGCCGAGAGAGGTCCGCGCGAGCGAGCCACGTACACGCAGGTTGCACGCGAGGCCGGCCAGCGAGAGAAAAAGAGGGAGAAACCTTCGGTTAGAACGCGTGCTATGTCCTGCGAGCATATTCACCCGGAGGACCGAGCCGATTACGCGAAATAAAAATCGCGCGAGATCCGCGAGCGGAATTTCGCCGAGATTCGATGGAAGAATTTTAGCCGACGCGGTAATATCGATCGATCGAACTCGACCGGAGTTCCCTGGGAAGGATTCGCGAGGCTCGGATCTCTCGAAGATGGTCTCGCGGAGAGAGAGAGAGAGAGAGAGAGAGAGAGACCACGACGAGGGTTTATCGTCGGGAAGAGTTCGGTGTACCAAAGCGGAACGAAAGAGAGCGTTGTCCCGGGTCGGATTGGGAAAGATCGGCAGCGAGACGCGCGCGGTCTCGGGGCGAATCCGGCGGGTCTCGAGACGTGCGAGAACGTCTGTTTCTCGTGGGATATCTCCCGGCCATTTCCGTTTAATTGATCGTCCTGAAACGTTGGCACGTATATGTGCTCCGTGGATCGAAGACGATACCGGGACGGCGGTTTCAATGGTCAGTGGACGAGCCAATTAGCTCCGTCCCAATGCTCAGGTACACTCTTCTCCCTCGGTCTTCCCCCCGGCACCCTTTCCTCGCCGCGCGGTTTCTCGCTCCAACGAGGGCGCCTCTCTTTTTCTCACCCGAGCACGGATTCCCGGTCTATATGCGACCTGGAAGGCTTCCGGGCTGAAGCGGGACATTACGGGCCCCCCTTCTGCCTCGGACGGAACACAGAAAACCGAGGTCCTATCTTATCCGCGAAGAAGTTTATAGCCCGGTCGACTCTAATTGGGCGAGAAATCATCGGGCACTCCTTTCCTCTGTCCGCTCGCTCAAAAAGACGCTCACTAATTCACGATTTCTCGCGTATTATTGCCGGGCCATGCCACCCTTCCTTCTCCCTCGGCCGTCCCATCTACCCTTCGCCGCCGCCGCCGCCGCCGCCGCCGCCGCCGCCGCATTCCCCATCCCTCGCCAACCACGCATAGCCTCTCGCCTCGTGGCTCGCGTCGCGTTCTTCTTTCGCCAAATCTCTCTCCCGTCTGCGGAAAAACAGTCGCGGGTGCTAGGTTCTCGTTCGTTATCGAGGCGATCGCTGGATTAAACGGCGCGACGCCGCGTCGGAATCGCGGCGAATAGCCGGGAGAGGAAGGAACGGCAGCGGACTATCGGGGATATTGGTGTTCCGTGAAGGGGTTGGTAGTGGCGCGCGTAGCGTGGAAGGCGAAAAAAGACGACGAGGAAGGGAAGCGCGCGCGATTTACCGTGCACGAAAAGGTGCGCTACGCTCTCCGCGCCAGGCAATATCTCATTGAGCAAAGGAGGAGGTGACTTTAACGTTGGCCCCTCGTTCTTCCCATGAGCAATCGCGGCTGAGACGGGCTCCGACGTGGCCGCTGCGAGTAAGATCGTTAATCTTGCCTCACCGATCGGTCTCAGATAGTAATTGTTACGTTCTCGTTTCTCCTGGCTGACTGCCTGACTGTGTCCGACGATCCCTCCTTCTGTTCTCCGTTCTCGTGCCTCTCCGCTCTCTCTCTCCTCTCCTTTCCTCCACTTCTCCTTATCCACCCCGTTTCCCGCGTGTGCTGTGCCAGGAGGCCGCAGCTCGTTCGTCCCTCGCGTTCTTTCTTTTATGCCCCGAGTGTCGAACGATCCTCACCCACCACCAACACCACCACCACCACCACCACCATCACTATCACCGGTGTGTTAATGCCTTTGGCAAGTTTGTTCGCGTTACAATAACGTCGATCCCTTATTCTATCGTATACGTACTCCTGGTCGGGCCCTATCGCCGTGCCTTTTGTATGCCGGCTCTCGGCCCAACTTTCCTTTTCTCCTTCTCGCCCTATTGTACGCCGATTTCACCGTCGGGGATATGATCGTTCCACGGGGTAATTCCAATGACCGAGGCAGGGCGAGAGGAAGAGATAGCCAGAGAGAGAGGGAAAGGGTCTATACACCTCGATACGAAATTCTTTCGACTCCGGACGAACGGAGATAACCGGTATAACCCTAACAAGGCGAAAGATATAGGAGAGGAGGACATCGGGGATAAGCATAAACGCGCGCGAGGACGTACGGGATGATCCACGAATATTCGGCAAGACCGTTTCAATTACCTGGCTCGACCGAGTCCCTTTTTCCGTCGCAACGACGACGACGACGACGACGACGACGACGACGACGACGAGGAGGACGAGGACGAGGACGACGACGATGCGTGTACGTTGGGTGTCTCGTCTGCTCTCTCCCTCACCGTCTCTCTTCTCCTTCCGTTGCTGCAGACCGTCCGAGTCTACCGGTGTGCGCGCACATCCCCGACCACGGGCGTGGTTATAAATTTGGTAGTCGCGTTAACAGCTGACGGGGACCACGATATCCGAAATGTTGGCGGATCCGGTGTTTTCGTGCTCTCCGCCAACGAGCGATTCCACCCGTGGCCGAAGAGAGTGTCGCCCGAGAAACCAGTTTCACACGCGGATTCCTTATTTGCGAACCCGACGAAACCGTAGATTCGAGTTAATCGTCGATGAGCCTTTCTCCCGGCCCCCGCCCATTTCTCTCCCTTTTTTCCCTCCTTTTCGTCCTTTACACGGGACTGCGACAACGTCTGGATCGCTTCCGAGGGGATGTCGATTTTTCACCCGGGGGATCACCACCGCGGACCCCGAGGAAGGGACGTTGTTCGCGAAAGGGAACAGAGAGATGGATGATCGATGGTGGACATGGGGTTGCGGATGCATCGAGTTGCTCTCGTTTACAGTGAAACACCTGCGTAGATATTTACAAACGAATTCATTTAAATAAAAGTCGTTTTAACAGAGTTCGTTACAGGATTACCAATCTGGTTCATCTATGCTATCTGTCTACGTAGTGCCTAGGCAATGCATTATCCGCGGCATAATGATTCGCTAGGACTAGTTCCGGATAGACTCGACGAGCGTCCGTCCGCGTTTTCCTGGATGCGGGAAACGCGTCACGCGTCGCGGTGTAAATTATAGCGCAGCGCTGCAATTATAGCGCAGCGAACGGACAGCCCGATGCGCGATACGTATCGGGCAAGCAATTAATTACCTATCTAAATCCTCGGTAGTTCTAGCCGACAACAACGCCACGACGACACTGCTCGGTATCGCGCTTTAACGTTACACAACCATCTTCGTAGCACTTATCGTAATCTTAATCGTAATAAATGGATCGAAATCGTAGTAAGTAGGTAGGTATAGGTACTAGAGGACGCATGATCGGTCGTAAGCGGAAACACGCGAGCGAGACGACGATCGCGCGACCGTCTATGGTCCGGATTTCCAGAGTCGACGAGTCCTCCACACGGTTCTGCCACCGCGCCACGACCACGACCACGACCACGACCACGACCACGACCACGACCACGATCGAGGTGCGAGCACCGTCGCGCTCGGATCGCAGGATACACGCCTGGATCGTTCCTCCTGCGCGGCAAACTTTTTCACCGATCCACGGATCTATCGTCTCGTTGGGCACTCGCGAGACGCGACGCGTCGAATGGCAAAAAATTCCTCGTCAAACCGGTCGTCGGTTAATTCCACGCACTTGGAATACGAGCACGATTCCATCGAATCTTCCGCGTGTCTTCGCGAAACGTAAACGTCCTCGCGCGATCTCAACGATCGTGTTTCGTCAGCTCCAGCGGTTGCTGTTCCGTCCAATGATCCCGCCAGGCCACTGTCGGCGAAGACGGCACGTCCTGGTCCGAGTCCTGCACGTCGATCTCCTCGTCCTCTTCCTCGTCGTCCACGCGCTCCAATTCCTCCTTGCTCGCCGACTCTGGCCTAACCGCGGCCACCACGTTGCCCTCGTGCCTCTGCTGCTCGTACGTCGGGCTCGAGGACCTCGGTATGCTCGGCGAATCCTCCCCGACTAGCTGGCTGATCATCCTGAACGCGCTCGGCTTTCTCTCCGGCTGTTTGGCCAGCGATTCCACCCTGTCGATCCTCTCGTTCCGTTCCACCACGACGGCCTCTCTGCACGAGGAGTTGGTCACGACGGCCCGGAACGCGCTACTTTCTCCTCCCATTCCGGCGATTGAGCAGCTTGACGCACGGCTTACTTCCATGCCGGATGCGGAATGCGGTTGCGGCTGCGGCTGCTGCTGCGGCAGCGGCGGTGGCGGCGGAGGCGGTGGTGGTGGTGGCGGCGAACGCTTTAAGAGGTTCATTCGCTGATGACGACGCCACTTTGCCCGTCTGTTGGAAAACCAAACCTAAGAGTCACGAGTTAGGTCGTTAGATGGCTCGTGATCAAATTTCTTCTAAGCTTCGAGAAAGGGGGCTACGCGCGCCGAGTCGCAGGGCCTATTCCTCCGTTACACCCCGTCCGATCTTCCGGGGATTTCGTTACCCCGCCTCGCTGCGGAACTCGAGTCCTCCGACAAAGGCTACTCGACGCAGACATAGAGAGACAGAGAAAGAGAGATAGAGAGGAAGAAGAAGAAGAAGAGAGAGAGAGAGAGAGAGAGAGAGAGAGAGAGAAAGGAACGAGACGGGAAGAAAACTGCGATCGAGAACAAGCCCTGCGAAACCAACGCGCTAGCCCCCCGACAAAGATATCTTGGGATGGAACTGATCCTCACCTGTACACGAGCTTCCGAGAGAGAGGTCTTCGAGGCTAGCCGTTCGCGCGTAGACACGCAAGGATAGTGTGATCGCTCGAATTCTTTCTCCAGTTCCTCGAGCTGTTCCGGGCTGAAGGTGGTGCGATTTCGCCGGAATTTCGGCTGCTCCGAACCATCCAGGCTTCCCTCGTCTCCGTCACCGTCTGCACAGAAAGACCACCATCTTCCATCTCTACTACCATCCACATCATTCCTTCGACGTCTCTTTTCTTTTCCCTTTTCTCCCTCTCTCTCTCTCTCTCTCTCCCTCTTTCTCTCTTTCTCTCTCTCTCTCTCTCTCTCTCGTTTAGCATCACACCGAACAATCACCTTGCAAGTATCCCCGAGCAATGGCGTCCGCGTGCAGAGAGTGATCGGCGGTGCCGGCAGCCGACGCGGAGGCGGCCGCGGCCGCAGCAGCCGCCGCTCCTGGGCTCAAGGACGGCGGAAGAAGCAGAGCGGAAGCCGCGCCGGAGATGCCGGTAGCCAACGGCGGCAACATCCAAGGGTGGCCGGCCGTCCCCGGCGCTGGCCAGCCAGCGGGTAAATGGTGGCTGGTCGTTGGGTGCTGATGGGCGCTGTTGAAATACGGGTGCGGACCAGCGGCGTACAAACCGTAGCCGGCAGCACGCGCGAATTCCGCGGCCGCGCGTTCCGCCGCGCGATTCCGCAGGATTCGATTGATGCTGCTCACCGATGGCGCTGTCGCGTTGCTGCACACGCCTGCAAGAAGAGGAACAGGGGGTGCTTCTTCTGCAACGGTCCGCGTTCTTTCTCGCGGTTAACAAGATTTTCCGCGGGGAAACGCTCGATATAGGATACGCGATTACCATCTGTTGCGCGATTAGTATCTGTTGCACGGTTGCTATCAGTTGTACGATTACTCTCTGTTGCGGGATTAGTATCAGTTGCGCGATTATTAATCAGTTGTACGATTATTATCAATCAGTTGCACGATTACTATCAATTGTACGATTAGTATTAGTTCCACGATTACTGTCAGTTGCACGATTAGTATTAGTTGCACGATTACTATCAATTGCACGATTATTATTAGTTGCACGATTACTATCAATAGCAAGATTACTCTCAGTTGCGCGATTACTATCAATAGCACGATTATCAATCAGTTGCACGTTTATTATCAGTTGCACGATTACTAGCAATAGCACGATTAGTATCAGTTGCACGGTTAGTATCAGTTGTATTATTATTATTAATCAGTTGCACTATTATTATTAATCAGTTGCACGATTACTAACAGTTGCACGATTAGTATTAGTTGCACGATTACTATCAGTTGTACGATTACTCTCAGTTGCACGATTACTATTAGTTGCGCGATTATTAATCAGTTACATGATTAGTATCAGTTGTACGATTATTATGAATCAGTTGCACGATTACTATCAGTTGCATGATTAGTATTAGTTGCACGATTACTATCAATTTCACGATTACTACAATTGTACGATTACTATCAGTTGCGCGATTTGTATTAGTTGCACGATTACTACGAATAGCACGTTTGCTATCAATCAATTGTACGATTATTCAGTTGCACGATTAGTATTAGTTGCACGATTACTATCAGTTGTACGATTACTCTCAGTTGCACGATTACTATTAGTTGCGCGATTATTAATCAGTTACATGATTAGTATCAGTTGTACGATTATTATGAATCAGTTGCACGATTACTATCAGTTGCATGATTAGTATTAGTTGCACGATTACTATCAATTTCACGATTACTACAATTGTACGATTACTATCAGTTGCGCGATTTGTATTAGTTGCACGATTATTACCAATAGCACGTTTGCTATCAATCAATTGTACGATTATTATCAGTTGCACGATTAGTATTAGTTGCACGATTACTATTAATAGCACGATTGCTATCAATCAATTGTACGATTACTATCAGTTGCACGATTAGTATTAGTTGCACGATTACTATTAATAGCACGATTGCTATCAGTTGCGCGATTACTCTCAGTTGCCCTATTTCTATCAACAACACGATTACTATCAGTTGCACGATTATTAACAATAGAACGGTTAGTATCAATTGCAAGATTACTCTCAGTTGCGCGTCTACTATCAATTGTACGATTACTATTAGTTGCACGATTACTATTAATAGCACGATTGCTATCAGTTGCGCGATTACTCTCAGTTGCCCTATTTCTATCAACAACACGATTAGGATCAGTTGCAAGATTACTCTCAGTTGCGCGTCTACTATCAATTGTACGATTACTATTAGTTGCACGATTACTATTAATAGCCAGATTGCTATCAGTTGCGCGATTACTCTCAGTTGCCCTATTTCTATCAACAACACGATTACGATCAGTTGCAAGATTACTCTCAGTTGCGCGTCTACTACCAATTGTACGATTACTATTAGTTGCACGATTACTATTAATAGCACGATTACTATCAGTTGCGCGATTACTCTCAGTTGCCCTATTTCTATCAACAACACGATTACGATCAGTTGCACGATTACTAGCAATAGAACGGTTAGTATCAGTTGCATGATTACTCTCAGTTGCGCGTCTACTATCAGTTGCACGATTACTATCGGGCTCGATGGGAGCATCGACGACGAGATTCGCGACATTAGGAACATCGCGAAGTTACGAGACACGCGTGTCATCTCCCTCGATGACAAGTTTCTTCAGACGGTCGCGACTTCGGGGTAAACCTAACCCAATCTACTCGTGCCGTTGTATGTACCATAGTTACCGAGCTAATGTCCGGGTATAATCGGCGAAACCGTGAACCAACTTTTCCGTTAACGATAAACTCCGGTCCGTGGTCTGAGAACGCGCTCGGTTTCCTTGCAAGATTCCGCTCTTTTGAAATCCACGAACAACCTGCATCCGGTTCTTTCTGCGTTTCGAAATGCTCCCGATTTTCATGTAAATCGCGCGTGGATGACGCACGATCCGCTGGAAAGGAGAAAGTGTCGGACGCGGAGCGTCGAGAAGGGAGACGGAAATTTAGCTAGCCGAGGGAATCGATAGGAGCAACGACGCGTTGCCGGACGCGGAGGAGAATACGAGCGTGGATGCCCGCTTTGAAAAGAACAAAGTGTGTCGGTGGACAAGGCCGTGGAAGAGTTTCTCGATTCTACTCGCAATTGCACGTCTGCTCGTAGACACGTAGAACTATTATTACGAGCGATTCGCAGCGGCGCACGAAACACGCGGCATTGTTGAATAAGACGTTAGCTAACCGGTGGTTGGAGAGAACGCGTGGCACGAATTTGCTCGCGTTATCGCGTATCTGCAAACTAGCCGCGTCACTCGCCGGACAACCGTGTGTCTCTTACCTTCCGAGATCAGTCTCTCCCGAATCTCCCAGGCGAAGATGGTCGGGTTTTCCCTCTTGTACTGCTCGATCTTGGCGACGACGGCCGGCGTCGCGACTTTTGGCTTGCTGCCACCGATTAAACCCGGCGGGCGCAGGGTACCTGGAACACGTTAGACCGAGCTTCAAGGACGCGTCGTCTTCGCTAATACCGCTGGCCCGCGATAAAATCGCTCGTAAACGGCGATACCGGGCCACGTTTATGTGCCTCGTGCCTGTGTCCAAGTGAACCGGCATAATTTCGGAAAATCACGCAAACATCGCACATTCCCCGAGTAATAACAACGTCCGCGCTCGGGTGTAAACTGTCAGCCGGTCTTTACAAGTGTGCTCCCAGCACACGAGCCTTCTCTTCTTCCTCTTCTTTCTCACCGTTGCGCAGAAGGGAATTGGCAGAGTTACGAGTCTCGCTGCACAGGGAGAAGGAAGAGAGGGGAAGGGAATATTCCCGATGGGATACGTTATACGCGTTGACAAGATGGAGGCATAGAAGGTCGGTGCTCATCCCGCGTGCGAGTCCTGCACAGGCTGCCGACATCGGATACCAATCGTATCGTGTCTGGGCGGATCCACGAGGCAGTCATTAGAAGCTTAGCGCGTGAAACGATACCGGTATGCGATAGCCTGCGATAATCAGAGATATCTAATATGAGCCGATCGGGGAATAGACGCCCGTGTAACGTTTCCGAGACGCGTACAGGCTGCCATGCCGCTCTGCTCCGCCAGCTCGTCACGAAGGAGCCTCGAACTCGCTCGGATTAGCTGTACAATCGAGTCCCTTTGCTCCCCGCGTTTCCCGTATTCCGATATTTCAATTCTTCTCCCCGTTCATCCGTTCTAATTGAACGATCGCTCGCGCTAATCGCAGCTCGCAGCTGCACGATAACTTTTACGCTGCCACCACGAATCCTTGGTGACCGATTCGTTTGATAAATTCCAGTCGGCTATCGTCGGCTATCGCGCGGCTCGTTTTCCATTCGAACACGTCCGTCGTGTGTCTTTGTCGAAACGTTCAAGGGAAAGTCGGTGGTTGAACGGTGGTCGAAGGTAGCTGCATAATGCAAGCGGCGGAGGCGCAGCCAGGCTCGAGTAATTATAGAACGTTTCGTGCTATCATTAGCGACAATGGCTACGGTGAAGCTGACAAGTTATGTGCCGAAGGCACACAGGTGTTACGTGAATGCATAACTGCAAAGATAGTGTGCCGTCCGTCTACGAGCTTCGTTGAAATCCGCGATGCCTATTGAACGATCCACGACACCTTCAGCAATTGTCGATCAACGAAAATAAACTTCCAGTTGTATCGTACAACACTGTGTATCGTTATTTATAAATACGCTATCAGAGAGGCGTTTATTCGAACAGTTAGCACACGTCTCGCGTCTCGAATCGAGTTGGCCAATTCTTCATCCCTCGGTGTCTTCGGTCTTTGCTGTCTGCTCGCCACAGTTTTATCCCTTGGAAGAACTACAGCGGAAGATTCGCCGATATTTCTTCGCTCGACCGTTCATTCAACTGGCGGATACAGGCAAATCGACGATCTGAGAATTTTGGGAGCAGGGGAAGGTCGTTAGACTCGCACCCCGGAGCGTCCGCGTGGTCCTGGAAATTCACTAATCGGAGATTCGCGTTTTCCTAGTCGCTAGATCTCGCGAAAATTCGTTTAGACCCCGAGAAAATAGGGAAAAGTGGACCAAGGAGAGAGAAGAGCCCTCGCGGAACCCCCGCGGTGCCCCCGCGAGGACCTCGAATCGGACGACGTTGGCAAGGTAATGGAAAACAGAGGCGCAGTCAGACTCGAGCAATTATCGGTGGTTACGTGTTATTATTAATAACAATAATGACGGCTAAAGTCGGCAGGATATCGCGTGCGCTCCCACGGGTGAACTGCGTGCCTGGTATAAACGATGTACCCACCTAATAGGCATCCATGCCTCGAGCAAATTCCTTGCCCTGATCCGATGTCTCTCTCTTCCATCCGGCCCCTCGCGCTTCCTTCTCTCTTCCTCTCCACTTTGTTCCGTGTGCACGCGTGCACGCCGGTCCACGCTCGCGCGTGTATATAAAATTTTCGAGAGCGGGGCCCCGGTTAATGAAAGAAACCGCACGAACCCGCGATTGCAGGCTGCCTAGTGGGCCGCTCGTATTCTTCGCGGAGCTGATCAACGCTGCCGGACGCGAGTCCACGACTATGGGTATCGCTTACCCGCGGCGAGCATCGCGATGGCTACCAGCATCCTTCCATCGCGAGGTTACGCGCGCCATTACGGACGCGCGAACGGAAAATAGGCGTAATCGCGGAACCGGGCGCGAGAGAATAGGCCTCGGCTTCTACCTCTCCTGCCTCTACCTCTCAAGCGGTCGTTATCCCGACGAGAGTCTACGGAGGCGTTCTATCGGTGTTTCTTCCGCGCGATCTCGCGGCACGCCGTTCGCATCGGCGACGATCGATCTTGTTACGCGCGGATAAGAAGACCGATAGCGGACCGGCGGAATTAATTGTCCGGCCGTATAGCGGTGGAATTAGACGATATCGGGCGTGTACGTTCTTCTGGCCGGCGTGGAGAAATTTATCGCGCGGCTGGTCTCGTAGCTCCGCGTCCGAGCGGTATCAACGCTCGCGACATGCATCGCGAGGACACGCGTGCCGATCTATCTTGGCGAATTCGACGATCCTCGAGCATCGCGCGTGGCAAGATGGATGCGCTGCACGGGATCCGGGGTCGTCGGAACGGTTCGCGGTCCGGAGAACAGGGCACACCACCACCGGTGTGCGGAACACGCTGGGAACGAGTGCAAAGCGATCGACTGGAAGGTCCGCAGCGCGAGTCGTCGCGGCGCGGTTGATCGTGAACTCGATCGTGGAAAAAGATGGCGAAACTCGAAGAGGAATCGCCGGTTCTGGCGTAGCCGAACGACCACGGTGCACCCAGGGGATTAATTGTTTGCCGCTGTTAAGTAATTGGCCGGTCGATTATGGTACATTATATTCACCTCGAGACGCCTAAGGAGTCCGTATCCAGTGGAGATGAAGACATTACCGGCGAGCCGAGAGAGCAGGCCGAACGGTATTTTTACGAGCGGCTCGTAAAGTTAACGAGGACCAAGGTAGCAGTCAGCCGAGAAAGAGAGAAACCAGCGTTCCACCGATGCTCGGTGGCTCGCCTCCATTTTTTTATTGCTCCCCTCGGCCACGATCCGCGTTCCTCTTCCTCTTCTTCGAGGGAAGAAGTCGATGCCTGGTAGTCCGCGTGCTCGCGTCGCCACCGTTCTTCGTCCTCTTCTTCGTCTTCGCGTCCCGATTCCCACACGATTCCAACACTTTCGTCTCTTCCGTCCGGTCGATCGGCACCGTCGCTCCCCTGGTCGCTCAGCTCGCTATCCTCGAGACGATGGAATTGGGGAAAATCGAGCGAATCGGAGGAGAACGTTGCTCCGCGATTGCTAAATTCCACGCCTAGCAGATTGCTCGAACGGGAAACACGGAAAGGATCGCGGCACAGATCGGGCAGAGATCGTGGCAATTATTGACAAATTATTCGTGGACGCTCGAGTGGCCGGTCATGCGAACGTTTTACGCGCGAAAGAAGCAGCTGTTACGAGTTAATCTTGGCCGGCTAACGAGCTCGAAAGACCGCCGCTTCTTCGTAACGCTCGTTACGTCTTATTTGCCCGCGCTGATACCGATGCTCCTTCTTATTTCCTCGGCAGCGTGCTTGGAAAATGCCCGGGATGCCGATCAATTTAGTTTACGCCGTTTTATCGCCGCGTACGCGAACGAGCGGTGATCAACGTCAACCTGCTCGAGTCCGCTGTACAAACAGAATGGAAACAGCGAAAAAGGCGAGAAGGTAGAAGACAACAGCTCGAAGCTTCACCGCGACAGCGGCCGGTGGTGATTCACGGTGACGACGAATCGATATCGCGATATCGAGGACCCGGCAAACGGAGGAGATCCGATAAATAGACTTTTCGAGGAGCGTTTCGCGGCTGGATTCCCTGGAATTACGACCAGGCGTGCTGGAGCGGACGAAACGAATCGTCTGGAACTCGAATCGCGGAGTTAATCCGCGCCGGAAGCGGCGAGTACCCGCGACTCCGCGAAACCCAGCAATCTTTTCGCTCGGCGGAGATTTGCAAACATTTACGGACATCGCAGAAATTTCCGAGCGATCCGGCCGCTTCCGTGTTACAGGGCATTAGCCACGATTACAACGGTATCCCGAGATTCGTCGGATAGCCTAACGAACAGCCGCGGATGCAATTACCAGGGAATAATGGCGCTACGTCTGTGGAAATAATAGCGAACGATAGCCGCGAGTTTCTCCGCGGCCTCTCTCCGCTCTCGCGATCCCATTTCGATTTCTTTCCTGTCGCTTCCAGCGGAGAGCACGCGCGGCAAGGTAACCGATTTCGCGCGAGTCGCTCGCAGCGAGGCCTCGCACGGCTGAGCGAGCATCGCGCGCGGATTTTCAGCGCGCGCGACGTCGTCGGCCGGATTTTCTCGGACTTTATCGCCGAGGAAGCGAGCATCTCTCGCCAGGAACCGCGTCACGCGTCGCTGAACGCGTGCACGTAACCGCGCGCTGCCGTTTATCTCGCGATGATACCCCGGCCCGGTGGAATGTCGTTGTCCGTGGCATCAGCGAGCGTGGATCGGCTCGCGATCTATGCAATTCCATTACGCCAACGTAAACTGCTCTATTAAGCTTCACCGTCTGACTAGAGGTTCTTTCGGAACGGAGAAGCTCGAGCAGTCCGCGGGTCTCAAGCTACGTCTGGTTTCCCTCTCGACCGTACATCGTCGAGTTCCGCAACTAGGGTCGGAGTTGGGATCGCGCGCGACGGGTCGACGAGAGACGAACGTCGCGTTGCACGCGCGAGTTGCACCGAGTAAGTATAGAGAAGTTGATACGCGCGGGTGCCTTACCTAAAAGTTTGGTGACGACCGCCCCCTGTTGATTCAGCGACAGTACGTGATTGGCCAGGTCGTTGTAGTGCCTCAGAGCTCCTAATCCGTGAGACAGCTCGAGCAATCGTTGTCTGCTGGTTCCACCGCCGTTGCCGCTGGCAAACGGCCCCGCGGTACAGTTTTGCAAGCTCACGCCTGAAAATGCAACCACGTAACCAATTATCGGGCTGAGCAGCGTAACGCGTCCGCGTCCGCGTTCGCGGCCTTGTCGTCTAACGAGATCGGCGCGAAATCGCGAGGCGGATTCCGGCGACTATGAGAGCGACGCCGAGGGGAACGCGAGCTGGCGCGTTTACGAGCGATCGGCCATTTTGCGCGGCGGGGATGGGCAAAAACCGATGATAAATACGATTTCATTAACAATAAGGGTGTAACGAGCGCGTGGAACGAGGATCTCGAGGACGTGCCGGCGTAATCGAGCGAATTAATTTAAATTACTCGACGCGGCGTCGCGCGATCTCATCGATGCGATCTTCTTCTTCTTCTTCTTCTTCTTCTTCTTCTTCTTCCATCTGCTTTTCCTTTTTCCCGTTTCTGTTGCTGCTGCTGCTTCTTCTTCTTCTTCTGCTTCTTCTCGTCGTGGGCCGAGCGCCGGCAGACGGAGAAGGGCGAGAGATGGCCGTGCGCGAACCGAGAAGCATCTGCCGGCTGGAATCGCGCCGATTAATCACCGAAGGTGCGAATACCCTCGTAATTCCTCGAAGGACACGGCCGGACCGGTGGTTCGCGACTTCCTCGTGATTTTATAGGCGGCTAATCTCGGCGACGTTCCGTTCCGTGCCACTCTCGGCCGCTCACCGGTGAAACGGGCGACGATTTACGATCGAACGGGCCACGGTATTGAGAGCGATCCATTTTTCGCCCGGCGAACCTTACTTTAAACCTCCAACACCGATCGTATCTTTCCTCCCGCAGGGGTGGGGTCCGCGACGACGGGGGGATGAGGCCTGGTAGCACCCGTGGCACCGGGGTTCGGGACGTCGCGAGGGGCACGGGGGAGGAGACAGAGCGGAAAGAAGGGAGAAAAAGGGGGCGGGAAGGACGAGGGAAGGACGAGGAAAGGACGAGGGGAGTGGTGGCGATCGAAAAGGGTGTCGGCCGACAGTTCGCGTTTACGAAACGATCGGTTTTTTGCCACCATGGCCGGCTGCTGGCTTTTCATAACGGCCTCGTGAATCGGTAATTGCGAGAAATAATCACGCGAACGGCCATACGCGTCCGTGTATCCGTCCCCGGACCGTATATACGTCTTCGCCTCTTCCCTCGAATTAATTTCCGAGAGGAATCACGGCCGCAGGAATAATTGTAATTAGCGTCGAGTTGGCGCGGACAGACACCGTGATTTTACTGGCGGATAATCTTAACGACGTTTCGTACGATCCGGTGACCACGATAATTTACGATCGAACGACGATATTAAAGAACCGTTCCCCGCGCGCACCGGCCTCCGCGGGCAACCCGCAGACGTGGAAGGCCCAGCGATCTCGCGCGCGGAGCGCACCGGACGCGGAGAGAGAAACAGAGAAACAGAGAGAGAGATACGCGATCGTGAAACGAGAAATTAAATTCCGCAGGTAGATAGAAACGGCCCGGATCCGCGGCGAGAAAGAGAGAGCTCATTTGTAACGCGTTGTTTCCATCGGTTAAGAGCGAGCGGAACGCGCATACGCGTCCGACCGTTTACATAGCTGCCGTTTAATTAATTAGTCCTTTACGCGGCCGAATCGGCAATCGTCCATCCGGATGGATTTTACGCGGATTCTCGCCACTCCTTATCCCCGGCCTACGCTCTTTCCACGCTTCTCGACAAAGTAACTAGCGCCGTTAATGTACCCATCTCCCGGCTCTATTTATCGCGACGTCGCGCGACTAACCGATTAAATCTCTCCTAACCTCCTCGTCGGGTTCGTCCACGCCTGCAATTCTCCCGGCAGATTACACGCTGTCGTAGGTACGCGGTACAAAGTCGTATTCGTAACGAGAGTCGACGCGAGTCGAGCCCGGGACTTTTTCCACGACCCGTTGGACGCGTTAGAGTGTCGCGGACTGGTGAAATTTGGTCGGAAGATGGAACGGAAGGGAGAGAGAGAGAGAGAGAAAGGAGAAGACAGCGCGCGTTCGGGAAGATCGCGCGGTTTGTGGAATACACGAACGAGTGGCGAGCAATTTGGCGACGGCAACGAGGGTATCCGCGACGAGGACGAGGCAGTTTGCGGAGACCGGGATGCATGGACGACGTTCGGGATCGTTTGGCCGAGCGCAGCGAAACCTACGCGTTCCTGCCCGTTCTGGAAGTCGCACGGCCGCGCATTCCGCGCTCGTTTCGTGTCAAAGCTATCGGAGATGCCGTGAAAACGAAAGTAGCCGATGCACAGAAAGAAATGCGTCGTGTCGTTGCATCGACGCGAGGCTAGAACCGGTTCTGAACGAGTTCTGCCATCGAGTCCTCTATATTCTTTCGTATATAACGAAATTGCCCCGTGGAAAAGACCGATCGTTCGCGCCAGGCGATAGATAATCGTCGTAAAAAGCCGCGCGCACGCTCGCGATTCCTCCTGGCGAGCGGGAGAAGGAAACGAGATCGATGAATGAAAATCGGCCGATCGTCGCGAGTATAAACCGAGCGTACGCTTTGGGTCGCGATTGTCATCCATGCGTCGATTTCTCGCCGGATCGATTTCCTCCCGAAGACGAAGACGAAGAGGAAGACGAAGTGGAAGGGTACCGGCGTTGTCCCGAAAATCCACGAAAGTAGAAAGCGGGCATCGGACGACGGACCTGACCGGTACCTGTCTGGAAACGCGCAGGGTGTGGCTATAAATTCAGTGGGATAGGAACGAGATACTTAGGTTATCCAGGAGTAACGGAGAATAAATCGTCGCGCCGGGCCCCTGTACGACGAGAAGACACGAAATCCAATTAGCTGCGCATACTTCGATTAAATATTGTCCTCGTTTAATTAGTCTAAACGGTTCGCGGCGGTGTCGCGCGATATTTACGCGCTCGTATATCCACGCGTCTAGCAGGGGGCTGCTGACGCATCGGCCTCTGGCCTCTAGCTGCTAGAAGATTCTAATTAGCGTCCGACGCTCGACGACCCAACTACGACGACGTCGACGACCACGACCACGACCACGACCACGACCACGATCGAACCGGGACGAGCGAAGCAAAGTCGGCGACAACGATCGTTCGTTACGCTACGATAGAGCACGACGGATAGGAGCGAGAGCGTGGAGAGACGACACGGGCCGACAATCGGGGGAAACAAAGTGGCCGACACCGGACAGATGAAGATACCTGCCAACTACCGGGGCCCGCGACGCGAGATACCTGCCGTCTCGAAATACCTGCTAGGCGTGGCAGTAAAATCCGGCGGACAGAGTGCCGGCGAATATCCGGAGCGCCACGGTATCGGGCAGCACAGAAGTCGAGAGCGTACCGATCACCACGGACGGATATCGAAGGTTCAACGAGAGCAGCAGCTCCTCGCGAAAAGACGTACTGTTGGCAACGCATTGAAACCGGTTCTGAACGAGTATGGCTGGTAGCTGCGCGTCGTTCCATCTGGCAAGTGTAAACCACGGAAAGGATCTCGGAATATACTAGTAGTTGGCCGCAACTCGGACACCTACTCGATGGTCATTCTTTGCCCGTTGATTGCACACGCCACCACGCCGCTTATCAGCGGATTCTTCGGGTCTCCGTCGAAAGGTCGATAGTCCGTTTAGATTCTCCTCTCCTCTCCTCTCCTCTCCGTCCACGCTTAGCGTCCTCCGCGAGAACGACTCCGTGGGCGTCCGCGGACGCGTTATGACGCCTGTCCGACCATTCGACCTGCTCTCTGCCCCCCGACCGGTCAATTAGCATTCGCCCCGCGAAAACAGCCTCGTCGTACGTTCGCGATAATACCCGCTCGACATCCAGCTCGCTCCGTTATCGCCACCAAACGTTTCGCACCCCGAATCGTTTCGCGAAAATTACATTCCCCTCTTTTCTCTACCCTCCTCTCGTTATATTCTCGTCCTCTTCTCGTCCTTCCACGACGTTCCGCGTTATGGAAATAACGAATACACGCTCCTGTCCCGTGAAAATTTACACCGATCCTCCACTTCGTTCCCTTCGTTCGTCGTCGCGTCGATAAACGTGGTCGCAGACGTGCATCGGTTTCAGTACGATTTTCCGCTCGAATCCGCGCGATTTCGTTCATACCCGACGACCAATCTCTTCTCGCGACCATCTCTCTTGGAACGCACGCGAGCGTGAAGGCGAGTGTCGAAATTGCCACGGTAATTTCGCACGTTTAACCAGTTTAACGCGAGACGTTAGGGACTCGAAGGAAGATACGATCGTGGACAGAGGGAAGATCGTATCATCCCTTAAGAATCGTCCGGCTACCTACCGTAGGCCCCCGATTTCGACACCTGGAGCACACCATGAAACAACGTTGTTACGCTCGTTTACCGCGATTTAGACTGCTCGCCCTTTTTTCCTCCCCTTTCGACGCCCCTCCGGCGACTGGCAGAGGACACGCGCGACGCGTCCGCGAGGAAAATTGCGTTTCTCCGTGAAGGAAGGAATTATACTTCCGCGCGAGGGATCACCTCGGCTCGCGTTAACTATGTCTCGCGTGGACGCGTAACGAATAGAAGAAGGGCAGTGGTGTAGGGGGAAAAAAGGCAATCGAGGCGCGATCGGTTCCTCCGGTTTTTGCGAATCCTCGGCGAAAGGCAGCGAGGCAAAGTTTACAATGTGGACGACGGCGGTTACAGGGGCGAGCAAAAAATCACCGACACCTCTAACGATTCCCGATTGTACGCCGAGACGTCGGTAACGCTCGCTTGTCCAATTAAATTTAATTGTCGCGGCTCTGTTCGGCCTATCCGCTCGCGCTCGCGCCCGATTCCTCGCGCGGGGAGCCCCCCCGGTTTGTTTGCGTTCCATGGAAATTTTCAGACCGAGACGAACCGAAGCGTAACGCGAGTGTCTCATCGATTACCTCGGTGCGTCTCGATTATCGCGAAACGCGGTGTGCACAGGTGTCCCGGGCGAGTCGATTACGCTGCCAATGAGAGTGACGCGCAATTCGACGTCGAGACCGTCGATCTGGCCCAATCGCGACGCACGGTGCGACGCTGGTTATCGGGTAATATCGTCGCGAGATTAATTATCCAGTGTTTTTTGTTTCTTATCTCCGTCGCGATGGACGAGTGGGTCGCGGTCAATCGGGAAATTTCGCGAAGCGCGACCCGTTTCGGGTCGATTGACAGCGGATAGGTAAACGGACGGCGAAGACGCGTAACGCGCGCGGGTAAGCGCGAGTTGGATGGTTGAATAAAGAAAATAGGCAGGTTGGAGACGTAAATACCGACGGGAGAGCGGCAACGAAGCGGTTCGGAAAAAAATTGCACGCGAGGAGAACGGAAGACCGCGTCGCGTACGAGAACGAGGCAAAAACAAAGGGGATGGATGTCGAGGCAAACTGACCGTCGATCAGAGACACTGGAGGCACGGTCATCTGTTGATGGTGATGCGCAGCTGGATGCTGATGATGATGCGGCGGATGGACCTGAAACAGATGCGACCTCGTCTGCGAGAAGGTCGGCGAGGGTGGTTCCCAAGGTCGCGCGACGCCGGTGCTGACGGGTGCATCGTCGTCGTGGCAGCAGAACTTGTCGGTCCCCGCGGCCGGCCCGCTGCCGCAGTTCACCACCGCGTGTCCCTCGTTGTTGTTGTTGTTGTTGTTATTGTTGTTGTTGTTGTTCGCAACGTCCCCGTTGTTGTTGTTGTTGTTGTTGCTGTTGCTGCCAGCGTTGTTGCTGTTGGCGATACGCGTAGTAGTCGCGCCTGTCGCGGGACTACCACTACCACTAGCACTGCCACTGACACTACCACTGCCAATGCCGTCGACCTGCACCATTTCGCCGTCGATCGCAGCCGCCGACTTGGCAGTACCAGGAGGGGTCGCGACGCCGCCACCGATCATCATCACCAGACGATCACCTCCACCCCCTCCACACCGGGCACCAGCTCCTCCTCCTCTTCCTCCCCCTCTGCCTCCACTTCTGTAGCTACACCGTCCCTATAGTCGAGTCGTTTCTCTTCCTGCCTTCGTGTCCGACGGATGCCAGCCGTTTCCACCCGACGTTCCCTCCGATCTCTTCCTTCGCTCTGCGCCAACCCTGCCTTCCTTCGCGCCCGTCTCTTCTCGCCGAGGGAGCAAACGCTTCCTCGCGCCGATTCCACCGGATGCCGCACAGATTCGCGATCCCTCTTCCAATCCCGATCAGCCGAGATTCACCCGTAGCACCCGGACAAGTCCCCGTCTCGTCGTATACTCGCGAATCGCAGGCGAATCGGACAGAGCACGCTTGGTCGGTGCTGTCTGTCGGTCTGCTCCGTAAAACGGGTCGTACGACGACCACGACCACGACCACGAGCACGACGGCGACGTATCGTTTTCGCGACGGCGACGAGTCGGGTCGGTTGTCCTCGTGCACACTTAGCCACTCACGGTGTCACAAGACGCGGTCGCTGTGTGTATCGCGCTGGCGCAGGAGCGCGCGAGCGCAATCGACGCCAGGGTCCGGCGTGGCTTCCTGCGTCCGATTAACGAAGCAGAATGACATCCTGTCTGACGGTCCGTCGGCGAACGCGATTCATCGCAGCGCGAGCTTTCACGTCGGCTGTCGCGTCTACGTGGACGAGCGTAGTCGATGCGAGGAGGTAACGGCGAGGAGTGCTCGCGAGCGCAGGCGCTTCGTCGAAGCTCGTGACTACCTATAGACGTGTGCCCTTCTCTACCTTCCCACCCTCCGCCTCTCCTCGCCCGCTCTTTCTCCCCCTTTCTCTCTCACTCCGCTTCTCCTTCGCTCCGATTCTCGCCTCTTTCTCTCGGCTTGGACGCGTCTCTCTTTCACCTTCCGCCTGTCCGGGCTGCTCCCTTCTCCAATAACGGCCGACGAGGTACGCGCTACCACGGGATAACCTGCTCGCGCTCCGCCGGATTCGAGCAGATTGCCTTCCGTTCGGGCTTTTCGAGCGCGCCAACGACTACTAGCCTCACCCCCACTTTGACGCGCGCCTCGCGGGAACAGAGGCGGCTACTCGCATCCAGCTGACATCCAGATTTCAGGTAACAGTCTTTCTACTTGCCCTTCGTCTCCGACCTTGCCGAGACCGCTCGTTCCTCGCGCCGCTCTTCAGCTTACCTCCGACGCTCCTCCGGCCTTTCTCTTCTCTCCCGTATTCGCCACTCTGCTCTACCGGTTGCTTCTGTACTCCGCGAGGCTCCAACCTCGCGCAACATTCACCGTCCACACTCTCCGCACTCCGCAGTCTCGGGCACGTGATTCCTCTCCGACGGTTACCCCTTTCCGACCACCGTCCAATCCACCGCCACGGTCAGCAACACGGCTACGCGACCCAGCGCGCCGGAGAATACCAGAAGAGGAAGAAGGAGGAGAAGAAGAAGAAGAAGAAGAAGAAGAAGAAGAAGAAGGAACAGAAGAGGAACGATGTAACACGAGTACACGGGGTAACCTGCTCGCGGTCCGCCGGATTCGAGCAGATTGCCTTCCGTTCGGTGGCTCGAAGCGCGCCCAGACTAGCCTTACCCCCACCCTCCTCGCTGCTCAGTCGAGGTGAGATCAAGATTTAAGGCGCCGCGGCGCGGCGGCGGTGGCGGTGGCCGCGGTCACGCTGGCGGCAGCAGCCACGCTGACGAAGACGAACCTGAAGACGAACACGAACGACACGAACACGAAGAAGAAGAAGAAGAAGAAGAAGAAGAAGAAGATGATGATGAAGAAGAGGAACAGGAGGACGAGAAATACGAGTTGGCGGAGGAAGGAGGAGAGGCAGAGCAGGGCTTGCGCGATTACGATCGGAGGAAGAGAGGAGGCGACGAGAGACAGGGAGAGGTGGACAGAGAGGCTTAGTCGACAGTGTGGTCGAAGAGCGGCGCGCCGAAGGGGGAAGCCGGGAGCCGCGCGAGGATGCATGGAGCGAGTCGTCGGCTAAAGGCAGCCAAGTGCGCACTCGGTGCCGCGCATCTGCGCTTACCTGACGCCCACCGACCATTACCGGCTCGATCGACCAATTGGGCGAACCGGTGGACGCCCACCGATCTGTTCGACCTAGCGTTCGTCGTCGCCCACGCCGAGACTACGGCGCCCTTCCGCCTTCCGCTTTCCGCCTTCCACCTTCCAACCTCTTTGTCCTTTCCGCGGACGGGATCGATTAATTCCCGAATCGGATGTCGATGTCGGATGCCGGCTACGCTCCGGAATCGCTGATTCCAACGATTACCCGCCCGAGATACTCCTGATCCGCGCCAATAGCCTACCGAGCTGTGCTTTTCCCTGCAGCTGCCTGTCAATGCGCCTAGGAGGAAAGAAGTTCCGCGTCGGATCCTGATAGATCGTTAGATCCTGGCTTTCCTTCTACGAGTACATGCATTGGATTGGTTCTAAGTACTCGGAGTACTTTGGGTTAACGATAATTCGAGATTGGATAGTGTTGGAGAGTTCTAATCTCCCGCTCCATGTTGCTTGACGCCTTTATAGTGACATCTGGCATTTTTTGGCTATTCGAATAAAGACCTAACAGTGGAAGTCACTTCCTTCCAATTCACGAGATCTCGGGTTCCTTTCGAGGCAAATAATACAGAATTCCAAGTAGTTGACGCGAAAGCCCAATCCTTGGAAGACAATGACAGACAAACTGATGCCGGCTACGCTCCGGAATCGCTGATTCCAACGATTACCCGCCCGAGATACTCCTGATCCGCGCCAA